ATTACTTCTGAGGACTTTTTCATATCATTTGTCCCTGCTATCAAAATAAGGGGTTTTTGGCTGGATTTTTCCGCTTGACTGTAAATATGTTTAATGTCAGCTCCAGACTTGACCAAACCACTTACATAAACTTTGTTTCCACTGCACAAGCCAACAATCTCGGGGACTCCTTTTCCTTGACTATCTGCATATAGTTCAACTCTGACTGGATTTTCGAGTGGGGAAACCTTCATACCCAGGTTTACTTTTTTCTTCTTTTTTAACCTATTTTTGATGGAGTGTGTATTTTTATGTTCCACAGCTTGCATTTTGTGATCCTCCTCTGAAAGTAAACTGAAACTGTTTTTCAAAGGTAGATTAAAACATTGATTTTCCATAGGTAATTTGCCCTTAACTTTTTTTGGAATTTCCCATTTTTCATCTGTTGTTTGGCACTGTTTGTCATGATACGTATATAGCTCATTTGCCCGAGAAAATTTGGTGTTGCTTTTCAATGAATCTGGTTCCGGCAAAGGCAGCCGAAACATCATGTCGAAGATGTCTTCAGGTGATAATTGGTGAAAAGTTTTCCACATGGCTGCTAACTGAGCTCTCTTTGTTACAATGCTAGCCTGTTTGATTGAAAAGGGAATTTCACTGTTTGCTGTTTCTAACATATCTAGAGTATTATGTTTTATCATCTGAACAACAATATCAGTAAATATCGTAAGATAAACGCCACAGTCAAAAGTGTTTGACTGTTGTGGAACTGTCACAGTTTGGAAAGAGATCTCTGCATTTGTTTTAAAGTAATTGTTTACTTTGTTGGCAACTTTTTGTGCATGAACCAAATTATAAGTTCCACATGAGTCAAAGTAAAAAAACTTGTTAAGGTGTTTTACAAATAACAGCAAGCTCCAGTGTGAACCATTGTTTTTGTATTTGTTTTGAGTATCATCAGGATCATTCACATTTGTTTCATATTCAACATCATTAATGGGGAAAAAAATATGTGTCTTACTACTAAACTCCAACGGAGTAATGAGTTCATCTGCATCTTTATCCTGTAGGCATTTAATTGCTTGTGTTACTACTGCATTCATGAACAGAACATTCTGTGCCATGTTGGAAACAGAAAGTGCCAGCTTGTCATAGTACAGTAAAATCGTGTCATCTGTAATCCATTCATTGTTTAGTAATGATAAACTAATCTGAGATTTTTTGTCATTAATCGTATTTTGTTGGTTGGGTTCATGTTTTCTGGTTCCGGTGGTTTTGTCATTATTAGTCGGCAGGTCATTGGTAGAAGTAGCAGAGTCGGTTTTTAAAGGTGGCTCACATTGTACACTCTTATCTGTCATTTGGGGTGCATTTTTGGGGAGGTAATTAGGAACAGGAAAAATTTCATCTGTAAATTCCATAAGACGTGTGTCTGATTCAATGGAATGGTCAAGGATACATTTGAGCTGTTTTTCAAGATTCTCATTTGTCTCCTTGAGCTGTCTGTATTCCTCTTGGAGCTCAAGTAATGTGAGGGATGTTATTGTTTCTTGTTGATCTTGATTAGGTACTATAGGAGTATCAGGTGTAAAACCAGATAACTGTGGTGTGGATGCTTGAAAAGGACTCTCAACCTTTTTAATCGATACACTAGGTGAAACTAAAACTGAGGCTTTAGGTGATATCAGCGACCTCATAGTCACTGGGTGAGGTCCAGAGTGTTTGGGGTTGGTTGCAGTTATAGTTGATATATCAGAGTCAGTCTTAATTGCTGCATTGCAGTTCCTTCCAAGGCAACGCCATGTGATTTCACCACTTTTAGCTATGTAGTTTTGCCTATATTTATAATTATCAAAAATTATATTAGGCTTTCCATTCTTAGTTTCTTCAATTTGGAACCCCATGATGTTAATATTCTCAATATTTCAAATAGAGTAGCAATAAAATATAAACAAAGTTGCATTTGATCCTTTATTTTTGATTTTTTAAGCCATAAGTATTGGATGAACAAATCCAGGTATATTATTAAACAGAACGATGGTAAGTATCTAACTTATCTTCTCACAGTGCTTAGCAAAGGTCAATTATATTAAAATAAATAAGTAAATGTATTAAAAATAAAAATCCTCTTCTTAAACGATTTGTAAATAAAAATAACTCTAGATAATGAATCTCTTCACAAATATTATCCCAAATGCAGATGTAATCTAGGTTTATTCTCAGATTGTTGTTGTTACAATTGTTGTTGCTCCAAAGGTCAGGCCCTAGTGATAAGCTGGTCAGATGTACGATGTACAGGTGGGCAGGGGGTGGGGTGGAGATCCAAACAGGAAATTACTGCTAAATTCAAGTACTGTAGTGTCTTTGTTGCTTCCTGTCTATCTTGATGTGTTTAGGATCCTTGTTTTGTAAACGTTTATTAAACCCAAGTTAAAACAGTGGTTGAGTAGTAAAATGATTGGCAACTGATTAATAATTAATAAAAGTGAAATGATTGTGCCTCTAGTGTCTCCCTCAAGGATATCCAGTTAGTGTTCAAAACATGTGCTTTTGGCTAGGAGAAATGTGAGTTTATTTATAAGTCCTTTTAGTTGTAAAATTTTAAATGTCTACTAAAGTTTATAGTTTTATTTGCGTAAAAATACTTAACTTACAATTTAAAACTGTAGTTCAGTAACTCACTTTTAAAATACACTCTAAAAACATTGGATAATTGGCTCCATAAAAAAATCACAACTATATTGTTTTGAATCTGCAGACGACATTTGGTGATGGTGTACCATGCCCTCTTTCACTGCCATGTCAGCTATGGTCTTCTTCTCTGGGGACACTCGCCAAAGGTTGTTGAAGTGCTTAGGCTCCAAAAGCGTGCATTAAGGATTATTACTGGGAGTGAGTATCGTGCTCATTGCAAACCCCTCTTTGCACGACTTGGTGTGCTTACTGTAGTTGGCCACTACATACTTCTCTGTCTGGTGCACGTTAGGGCTAATATAACAACCTTCACCACTCGTGTTGACGTCCACCAGTATAACACCAGGCAGCGCCATCAGCTTGATGTACCAAGGGTGCGACTATCTAGGACCCAGGCTAGTTATAGTGTGTCAGCCATAAGTCTGTTTAATAAGCTGCCACGACATATCCAGTTGTTGGACTTGAGAACATTTGAGGCAGTGTTAACCACTTTCATCAAGAGCCGGGCCTATTACAATATTTCAGAGTATTTAGGGGATGATTTAAGAAGCCTGTAGCCTGCCGGAAGTATTTAAATAGTTGTAAATATTGTTTTTTGTATTATTAATCGTGTTAAAGTGACGCTGTCAATCCCACATTGTGGGTAAAAGACGAAGAAGGAGGTATTAAGGTATTAAGGTACTGAGATGTCCCTGATAATAACGAGATGCCCCTAATAGTAACAAAGATGCACCCTGGTAGTAACGAAATGAACCCTGATAGTACTGAGATGTCCCTGTTAATAAAGAGATGCCCCTGATAGTAAAAAAGATGCACCCTGGTAGTATAACGAAATGAACCCTGATATAGTACTGAGATGTCCCTGATAATAAAGAGATGCCCCTGATAGTAAAAAAGATGCACCCTGGTAGTATAACGAAATGAACCCTGATATAGTACTGAGATGTCCCTGATAATAAAGAGATGCCCCTGATAGTAAAAAAGATGCACCCTGGTAGTATAACGAAATGAACCCTGATATAGTACTGAGATGTCCCTGATAATAAAGAGATGCCCCTGATAGTAAAAAAGATGCACCCTGGTAGTAACGAAATGAACCCTGATAGTTCTGAGATGCCCCTAAAAGTAACGAAATGCAACCTGATAGAAACAAGATGCCCAAATTGATTCTTTAAAAATTGTTTGAAGAATCATACCTGCTTGTGTTACCTTGAGGCAAGCCCTTAGGGGTAATCAAAAAATTATCATTGTAGGCCGGTGTTTAAACATACAATTATTTGTGTTTGTGGCTGTAAATCATCCGAAGTGACTGAATTGGAAATATATGTAGTTAGTTTTGACCGATAACATTTGAAAAAACACAATTGTTGGATTTATGATGACCTAGAATACCAGTATCTAAAACGTCTTCCTCACGGGCGGGGGGCTTTCCCTTGACGTCAGCTGTTGCAAACCACACACAGCAACACACGGTTGAATTTCACTTGCTCAACAGGTTTTTTTTATAAAATTGTGTTTTAGGATTTCTTCAAGATACATTTCCCTTGTTGTTAAGAAACTAGCTAGTTTTAGAGGGAAATTCTGATGTTCAAAGATACCTATTTATACCATTACAATTAACGGAGTTTGAGGACTCTAGGATCCAAAATTAAAGTCCTCCTTATGATTTTAAATATAAGAAAATCAGAAGTTGATATATGTCTTACCAGCATGTAATAATGTATATATGTAATAATGCATGTAGTAATAATTTTAAACCTAGCATTTGGCCTAACCTAACTCAGAGATCATTAAATGCCACGCGTTGCACGTTTACTCCAACTTTCGCCATATTTATTTAATGCAAATTGTTACCCTACTAAATTCTTAAAACAAATCCATAAATGCTAATATAACGGTTTCTTTGCGTTTTTCATAAACAAGAAGTACTTGGTTGATTTTAATATCATTAACTTTTTTGTATAAAAATAACTCAAAATATAACTCCCAACAATGTATTATTTCACGAACGTGGTGACACATGTTTACGACCGTGTTAACTTATGTAAATCAAAACAAAACATGAAATGAATATACAGTAACCATATCCTTCTGCTAATAAATGCAGGGGTATTTTCAACTCCCAATAGTCTTACTGGAAGTTCAAATAGTCCTGTACATTAGCAATGGCCTAAATAAGGTCTCAGCTATGAACATAAATAGTTGTACGTGTAAATAGGATGAATGGTGGTATGTGAATGTGAGTAGGCCGGGGTGACGTGTAAGGTGGGTGGTAGGTGGGAGGTGGGGGGTGGGGGATGAGATATCGACCAGGGGGTGGCGGGAGATCGATGTCTGGAGCAGAGAGCAGTGCTAGTGGAGCTACGGAGCTAGGGAGGCGAGTGTGATGGACCGAGGACATTGACACATCATGGGCACCGTGCTTAGCTTCAGCCCGCGGGAACGACGGCCCGTGTACACGACGACGGCGAGTCACGACCACCGCGGGCCTCTCAACAACCTCAGCTACGAGCAACTGAACAACGCGCGCAACAGACAGACAGACAACAAGACGATGAGCGCGTCCCTCGTCGTGGCCAACCACACCAGCCACAACAACAACATCAACAATGAAAACGCCAGGATCATCAGCGAGAAGAACGCGCTCGAAAAGAACTTCAAGAAACACTCGTTGTTCATAAACGCGCTCAGCTGGAAAAGGTTCTCGACGGCGAACAACAACAAGAAGAAACTGGACAACAAGAACAAGAACTTGACGACCTTCAGACAGCCTCTGGTGGACAACATCAACCCTATAGTGGTCGACAAGAATAAGAACATACAGAACATCTCGTGTTACTACCCTCCGGTCAACTCCATCCCGACCTCGGCCAGTCTAGATCTCGTGAGAGCCAACAACACCAACAACAACCACAACAACGTCGTCAGTGACAAGTTAGCACCAAAGGCACAGTTGCTCACAGCGCCTCAACAGTTAGCTCCCAAGAAGACAGTGATCCAGGCGTCCACGTCAGAACTTCTCAAGTGTCTCGGCATCTACCTCCACACAAAGTGCTACCGCCTCAAGGACTTCCAGGCCGGGGACGCGGTCATGTGGCTGCGGACGGTCGACAGAAGCTTGCTGCTCCAGGGCTGGCAGGTAAGCTCTAACTCCACTTTTTAATACTAAGATGTGTCGTTGTTTTGTAAAAATGTTGCCATTGAGCTTTCTACTGCAGTGGTTGCAGGAGAATACATCAAGCTTCTTGCCTCAAGCAGATTATACACGGTTTTTAATTAATTTGATCATTATAAACGTATCTTGATGCTTGCAGGTAAAGTCGAAGCTTCTTAATTATTTTTAGCTGCTTTGCGTTTCTTGCAGAGTTACGGTTCTTGAGGTAACCAGCCATATGTCCTGTTGCTGCTGTACTAATGTGTGCATGTAAAGATAATTGTCACTACAGTTTGTTCAGGGTGTAATGTAAGGTAGTTACTTACGATCAAATCTTCAGTTCTTGAGATAAGTATTGCTCTCTGCTGCATTCACTGCAATACTTGACACTGCAACATTATAAGAGGTTGCTTGTAAAGTTGTGGTTCTAAATACTGTAGTCGTATCTTTCTTATGCATGGCAGGCACATAAATTTTGTTCCTTGCCACTCCTTACTCAGTCATACAAGGTTTCTTGAGGTAATCATGTACTGTATTTCTCTGCTGTATATAAGTCAGGTAAATGCATTCAGTTTCCTGATACTACCTGGTTGTACACAATTTCTTGAAAGGTTGTGGTTCTTGAGGTTTAGTTGCGTGAGAAGGGATCACAGTATTGCATGACTTCGTAGCGTTATAAGCCTAGTGTTAAGATTGTCGTAACTATGGATACTTATGAACAATACAGGCGTTTGCTTGCGCTATTGTGCTGTTGATTCTCGGATTACACTGCTTGCTTTGGCTGCTTTTAACATTAGTGACGTAATGAAATGAAACATGCTATCCACATGCTTAATATTCGACTTTTCATGACATAGGACGCTTTGAGGATGAAAATCAAAACATATAAAATTTAAATGGGTGTTTTCTTTAACAAAGACTTAAAATATATTATTTTTTTAAAAACATGTTAAAATTATATATATCCACTAAAGACACTAGTTTTTACCTGTGGTTCGTAAGCGGAAACAGAAGAATGTATCACTTGGTATTTTATTTCAATCAGCTGTGTATCAGTGTAACATTGAATGATAATCATATACTGTAATGTACCTACAACCGATCAATATGATAAATTTTTGCTTGCACAAAGACCTAGAAAACGGCTTCGACTATTTCCTTCAAATATAAACAATTTATTTCTGGTCTATAAACGTGATTGACGACACCCACTACCTCAGGAAATTTTGTATTTAGCTACAAAACTAATTTGAAAATTCAGAAATAACATTGGTCTTGCGGGTTGCCAAGTAACCATGTTGGTTGAACAAAATAGCAAGGAATAAGTAAACAAAAGACTTGTTACATGATTATAGCCAGATATCCAAAGTATACTAGCAAATTAAAATATACAGTGCACAGCAGTTATTTCTATTGAGCAGACATTACACTTAAGACTATTCGATTTAGGGGGAAATAGTCCCGATCAAATACTAAATTATTTTACTTTGGCTCTCTCCTACCAATACTTAATCCCCCAAGTACTGAGGAAATTGTTAGCAAACTTAATAAAATATTTAATAATTCCATATTTATTTTATATAAATTAAAGTTAAAACAAAAATTTTTAATCTGTTTTAATTTTAACAAACTGTCAAAACAATGTTTATACAAGTATAGGCTCATGGTGGAAGGAAAAACATAGGTGTGCTATTAATTCCCGTCATGTGCTGACGTCACCCGGATTGCAAACAAAAAATCACCTGATTGTGTTGCCATAAGTAATATTTGTTTTGATTTGATTTATAATTTGTTTCTAAATGGTGAAATGGTGTTTGCAATCTGGGTGACGTCAGAATATGATGGGAATAGTACGCCCATGTTTTTTCCTTCCACCATGGTATAGACTATAAACGAGTGATTTTTACCATCGACTGTAAAATAAATTAATGTGTTGTGGATTGCCAGGTTAAAATACCATCATAATATAAATTGAAATTCCACTGAAACTTACATTATAAAAGCCAAAACTAGATGTAAATAAAACGTGAGTTGCCTTACGCCAGGGACACACTTAGCGGCGAAATTACTATGCTTTTACAATCGAAACAAGGTTCGGTCCCCGGTACTATTTGTAAAACGTAAAAACCCAAATTTAAAAATGTGTATTTCTCTCATTGTAGCTAAACAGAACTGTAGCATTGTTGTAAGTGCGGTGATCCAGGGAACATGGCTACAAATTTTTGGAGGGATATATTGACAAATAAATGAATGTGTATTTATTATACACCCCGTGCCTTCCAGGTGTTTTCGCCCCCCTTACACTACTAGACAATCACCACCAATGGCTATGGATAATGAATTTGTAAAATACTTCTATAAATTTCAGGGCTCATTTTGGGGTGAATTAATATCAAGAGATATGCCCAAATATTGCAACTCCAAAAGACCTACGCCCCATTTCAAACAATATAGTTCAAAAGCACAGTTATCTGTGCCACATGTTACCTACTACTATTCAGTTCGGTCTCCAGAGTAACAAAACGTCAACATGCTGCTTGTTCATTCATAAGGTTTAATATTCAAATCATTAAGCAAGTTTAGGGTTGCCCTCATTTTTAAACGAGTGAAATCTCTAAATGCATTCACTACGCTGAGTGTTTTTGGAACTGTACCCCCACCCTAATTTTACATAATTAATTATTAAGTCGTAATGAACTTAAACGTGAAGATTTTTTGTACAAAATATTAAAAGTACTATTTTATGATGTAGTATTCCTTTAAAATCGAATATTTTCCAATACGACTTTAACAGAGTTTTTAGGTCCGTGAAGTTGGCGTACCCATATTAGCGTATCCACTTTTGTTCATATGAACCGTTAGTTTATCGTTAGTTCTCGATAGTTCCCAATTTTTTTCGTTAGTTCTCAAAAAATAAAAAAGTTATAGCCGATAATAAGTGGGTACGCTAACTTCACACTTCCGGTTTCTAGCGCGCGCCGTTTTCTGATGAGAAATGTTTACATCTATATATCAATCGTTAGTTCTTCGTTAGTCCTCGATATTTCTCTAATATTTTCGTTAGTTCTTAAAAAATAAACACGTTACAATGTATACAAGTAGGGTACGCTAACTTCACAATTATATAATTTCCAGCGGGCACCGTTTTCTGAATAAAAATCCTTATATCAATATACCAATCATTAGTTTTTTGTTAGTTCTCGATAGTTTCCAAATTTTTTCGTTAGTTCTTAAAAAATATACAAGTTATAGCCGATAATAAGTGGGTACGCTAACTTCACAATTATAGAATTTCCAGCGGGCACAGTTTTCTGACTAAAAATGCTTATATCTATATACCAATCGTTAGTTCTTCGTTAGTTCTCGATAGTTCTCCAATATTTACGTTAGTTAATAGACAGACATATTTATAGTCAGGCATTTATAGTCAGAAAACGGTGTCCACTGGAAATTCTAAAGATGTGAAGTTAGAGTACGCACTGTGTATTCCTTATAACCTATTTGTTTTTAAAAATCTAACATCAATATTAGAGAACTATCGAGAACTAAGGTTCGCTATATAGATATAAGCATTTTTATTCAGAAAACTGTGCCCGCATGAAATTCGATAATGGTGAAGTTAGCGTACCCACTTAGTATCCCTCGTAACTTTTTTTATTTTTCGAGAACTAACGTAAATATTGGAGAACTACCGAAGAAGATTGGTGTATAGATATAAGCATTTATAGTCAGAAAACTGTGTCCGCTGGAAATTGTATAATTGTGAAGTTAGCGTGCCCGCTTTGTATGCCTTATAACCTTTTTGTTTATATAGATCTAACAACAATATTGGAGAACTATCGAGAAATAACAAAGAACTAACGATTGGTATATAGATATAAGCATTTATAGTCAGAAAACTGTGTCCGCTGGAAATTGTATAATTGTGAAGTTGGCGTACCCACTTTGTATGCATGGTAACTTTTTTATTTTTTGAGAACTAACGTAAATATTGGAGAACTATCGAGAACTAACGAAGAACTAACGATTGGTATATAGATATAAGCATTTATAGTCAGAAAACTGTGTCCGCTGGAAATTGTATAATTGTGAAGTTAGCGTACCCACTTTGTATGCATGGTAACTTTTTTATTTTTTGAGAACTAACGTAAATATTGGAGAACTATCGAGAACTAACGAAGAACTAACGATTGGCATATAGATATAAGCCTTTATAGTCAGGAAATGGTGCCCGCTGGAAATTGTATAATTGTGAAGTTAGCCTCGTAACTTTTTATTTTTTTGGGAACTAACGAAAAAAAATTTGGAACTATCGAGAACTAACGATGAACTAACGAGTGGTATGATCAAAAGTGGATACGCTAATATGGGTACGCCAACTTCACGGACCTAGAGTTTTTAACTCAATTATATTGTTGAACAGCTGATCTCTGTAAGCATGGGGTGTGGCGTCGTGACCACAAATCTCGCCCGGGCTCAGTTTTCGCAAAATATCGATTAGGTTTATCTGTTTAAAAAATAATCTTGTGATTCGGAGCACACATAAAGTTACGCGTTCACATATCTGGAAAGCAACAAAGCATAGAGCAGCTAAGTGAGAAAGAAAAATAAACTTTTTATTATGGAATGTGAGTTAAATTTTTAATATAATTCAATAGGCTATACACATCCAGCTAGAGTATGAGCATGAGTGCTCAGATAGAGTATCAGAATGCTGACTCATGCAGACTAGCTGGAGACTGCAATATCAGCATTCTTAGCTGCAGAGGCACTCTGGTACAGCACGAACCGATAAGATTATTGCATCTCTGTCAAATATCTTTGTTCGCATTTGTTATTGTTATTAAGTTACCGTGTTTTGATTATTACTTGACAACACCATTGAACAGATTTTTACTTTTGACTATATTTAACGAATTTGTATTTATTTTTATTGCAATGCTACAAACCAGTTTTACACTCTTAATACGCTACAAAAAATTATT